ACCAGGGACCGAAAACCACCTGATGTGGGGCACCAGGGACCCCAAACCTCCTGATGTGGGGCACCAGGGACCCCAAAACTCCTGATGTGGGGCACCAGGGACCCCAAAACCCCTGATGTGGGGCACCAGGGACCCCAAAACTCCTGGTGTGGGGCACCTGGGACTCCAAAAACCCTTGATGTGGGGCACCAGGGAATTTGGGGCACCAGGGACCCCAAAACTCCTCATGTGGGGCACCAGGGACCCCAAAACCCCTTGATGTGGGTCACCACGAATCTGGGGCACCAGGGACCCCAAAAACCCCTTGAAATGGGGCTCCAGGGACCCAAAACCCCCCGATGTGGGGCACCAGGGACCCCAAAACTCCTGATGTGGGGCACCAGGGACCCCAAAACCCCTTGATGTGGGGCACCAGGGGATCTGGGGCACCAGGGACCCCAAAACTCCTCATGTGGGGCTCCAGGGACCCCCCCTGCCCCACAGAGCACCCAACCCCAAGACCCCCCCACCCCTTTGACCCTACCTGGCCGTGGGACGAGGCGTAGGGTTCCCCGGGCGGGTTCTTCTCCGTGGGGCCACCAAAGCCCACCCCACCTCGGCCGTGACCTCTCTCCTGCCACCCTTGGAGGGACCCCAACACCCCGGTGGGTCCCATCTCGGGCCGTGGGTGACTCTGGTGGCACCACCGTGGGTCAGGACGTGGGGGGACGAGGACCTGGTGGACCTCCCGGCGCTTGACGTCCCCCATGACCCCAACGGGCTTGGCCAAGCTCAACCCATCCATCCGGTTGATGGTCTTCTGGATGCCACGACGACTGGTGGGGCCGAAGGCACCATCCTTATGGCCGGAGAAGGTCTGGACCCCCTTGAGGTCACCCTTCCGTGATGCCCTCAGGTCTTCTTGGCAGAGCTCCCAACCCCAAGACCCCCCCACCCCTTTGACCCTACCTGGCCGTGGGACGAGGCGTAGGGTTCCCCGGGCGGGTTCTTCTCCGTGGGGCCACCAAAGCCCACCCCACCTCGGCCGTGACCTCTCTCCTGCCACCCTTGGAGGGACCCCAACACCCCGGTGGGTCCCATCTCGGGCCGTGGGTGACTCTGGTGGCACCACCGTGGGTCAGGACGTGGGGGGACGAGGACCTGGTGGACCTCCCGGCGCTTGACGTCCCCCATGACCCCAACGGGCTTGGCCAAGCTCAACCCATCCATCCGGTTGATGGTCTTCTGGATGCCGCGACGACTGGTGGGGCCGAAGGCACCATCCTCATGGTCGGAGAAGGTCTGGACCCCCTTGAGGTCACCCTTCCGTGATGCCCTCAGGTCTTCTTGGCAGAGCTGGTAGTACCTGGTGGCCCCGAAGCCGGCCTTGACCTGCTGCAAGGAGATGAAGGGGTGTTGGAGGGCGGCGCTGGGCACGATCCTCTCGTGCGAGTCCCAGGTGAGCATCCTCTTGACCAACTCCACCATCCCCCGGAGGTCGCACCTCTCGGCCAAGACCTCCTGGTTGGGAGAAGACGTCGGCCGGATGAGGTTGACCACGGCCAACTGGTCCAAAGAGGAGAAGACGTATTTCCTCCTCTCCGGTGGTTTCGCCGTCGCTTCGCCCGGTGGTTTGAGCTGCCAAGAACCGGTGGGATGAGGAACCCAACGGAAGAAGGTCCACGTCTTGCGGGCGGCGCGGAGGAGCTCGCCCCGAGGTAGGCCCAAGGTGGAGCAGATGTAACGGACCTGCTCGTACTCGTTGAGGCCCGGGTAGAGGGGCCAACCCAAGTGGAGCTCGGCCACCACGCAACCCAAAGACCAGACGTCCACCTTCTCGCAGAAGGGCAAACCCAACAAGATTTCGGGGGCCCGGTAGAAACGGGATTGGATGTAGGGTTCCTCCACGTGCCGGATTTCGGGGAAGATGCTGGAGGAACCAAAATCGATGAGTTTGACCCGAAAAGGATAACGGGCGTGGTCAACCAACATGATGTTCTCCGGTTTGAGGTCGGCGTGGATGATGGAAAGCTCCTTCAACTTGACCAAAGCGGCCAACACTTGGGCCGTGATGGTGCGGATGTGACGGACGGGCAACGGCGAGAAGTTGTTCTGTTTTTGGAAATCCAAGAGGTTCCTCTCCAACAACTCGAAGACCAAGTAGGTGAAGACGCCGTCGGTGAAGGACTCCAGGAACCGGACCACGTGCGACTCTTCGGCGTCCACCTCCCTCAAAGCCCGGAGCAACCTCAACTCGTTTTTGGCCACTTGGCCACGGTGACCTTCGTTCCTCAAGATCTTGATGGCCACCATCTCCCCCGTGCTCCTCCGCCAACCTCGTGTCACCTCCCCGAAGGTCCCCCGCCCCACGGCGCCCACCACCTCGTAGCGTTCGGCGCCCACCACCAACGTCCCCATGGTGACCTGGGTCCTCACCAAGGTTGGGTGGGCCTTGAAGGACCCCCCAAGAGGGGCTTGAAGGACCTCGGGGGCTTCAGGCCGGTCACCAAGAGCGGCCCCGGTTCCGGCGTCGCCGCGACGACACCTTCTGGGGCCGGGATGGTCTCCAGGGGCAACCAGGGGGTCTGTGGGGGGAGGAACCCCCCAAAACTCATCCCCGACCCACCAAAGCCATCTCCAACCACCCAAAAACCATCTCCAACCAACCAAAACCCATCTCTGATCCCTCAAAATCCATCTCCAACCACCCAAAACCCAACCCTGACCCCCCAAAACCCAACCCTGACCCACCAAAAACCATCCCTGACCACCCCAAATCCATCTCCAACCCCCCAAATCATCTCCAACCCCCCTAAACCCATCTCCAACCACCCAAAACCCATCTCTGATCCCTCAAAATCCATCTCCAACCCCCCACAAACCATCTCCAACCACCCAAAATCCATCTCCAACCCCCCCAAACCCATCCCCAACCCCCAAAATCCATCTCCAACCCCCCAAAATCCATCCCTGACCCCCCCAAATCCATCTCCACCCCCCCAAAAACCATCCCAGATCCTTGAATCC